ATTTTATGTCTAATTCAACATGAAAAGACACCTGTCAAATATTTTTTGTAAACAATGCAATTATCGTTGAGTGATAATTGCACACTGTGCAATTAGCGCTGTAATTTTTCGATAATTGCACACTTCAAACGGATAGATTATCATACGAAGGAAATATTCATCAAAATATCACGCGTGCATCAAAATAAACAGATAATTTTGCATTCGAGCTTGTTGTCTTGTAAAAACTGCATTCGTTTATTTTCACATTGGAACGAAAAATTTTTCGCCACAATATGAGAATAAACTCATGCAGTTTTTAGATAACAAGCTTTCATGCAAAATTATCGGTAATTTTGAAGCACTTGTGCAATTATCCCCAATTATATGCAGCGCGTTCGCTTGTATTCAGCGTTTATTTTTGATAATTTTTGATAATCACTGATACAGGGTGTTTGATCCTCCACCGCCAAAAGAAGAAAAAGTTTATGTAAGCACAGCTCAGCAAATCAAGGCTTTTGAGGTGCAGAGGTCAAAATTTTAATTTTTTCAGTCTATTAAATATCTACAGACTCAGGCAGAAACTTAAGACAACAAACAACATTAAAACAAAAATTTGAATACTAACATACACGCAAATCGAAAATAATGTACTTAAGTATTGCAGTATCTCGAAAACCTAGCATTTGCGGATATATTTTTAAGTGAACATGAAAATTAATTACGTTAATAATTCGCCAATGCTAGATTTATTTAATTTAAATATCAAAGGTTAAAATATTTACACTGTTACTACAAAAACTGAAATTGCAAAAAAGCAAGAAGGTATGCGCTACTTTACTATTTGCAAGAACAATCGAGTTGTTACTCATTTAAACTGACTTATGCAGAAATAAGAATTTCAGACAATAATTACTTTATAAATGGTTTAAAGAAAACTTTCAGCAGAAAATACATCAAAACTTATAATAACAGGGTCATTTTCCTACCCAGGCTTCCATTACAGTTTAAAATGCGTCGAAGTTCTTAACCAATTGAAAATTTTTCCTCCTTTTCAGTACATTGTACAGTCTCGATTACCGACTCATAAAGCAGGGACCAGTTTCAAAGTTTTCCTATTTGCAATCTGTGCTTGTATGGGATTGGTGTGTTCTTTGACCAGAATAACGGACAGACGACACCATTGGTGGGACGTGCTAACTGGAACAATTATTGCCTTATTTGGAGCTGCTTATACTATCAGAGTCCTTCATGCCCAAGTAATCATTTTGCATCGAAGGATCATATCAGATCAGATGAATTTCGGAGAAGATGGAATGAAGGAAACCTGCGAGACTTGTATAGTGTAGTTAACCAATAAATTAATATTTTAGAAAATATTGAATGTTATTTCAGTTACCATCATTTTGCGCATTTATACCGAGCTAAAGTAAAAACATGTCAAAAGAGTTTTGCTATTATAAAAACACAGAATACAGCAAAAAAAGCCTTTATTCAAATGGATATGTAAACAAGCGAATCTGCTATTTCTGCGGCTGTGTTTTTAAACATTTTTCCAGTGAAAATGTATTAAGCATGGAGATTCATTCCGCCTACTGAAAACATGTACCCGCATACTAAACAGCTCGCCCAGAAATAGCTAGATAACGAAATTAAAAACGTATTTTAGCTGCTAGAGGCCATAACAGAGAAACATCCTGTACGTGGGAGTTCACGCTCCATGAAAACGATTAACACGCTTAGGGCTGTTTAGTAAAACATGCAAAAATATAACCAAATATCATTACGGCGTTAAAACAAATCGAAAATGTCCTCTATATGCTTGTATTCGTGCAAGTAAATTGTTAATAAAACCAGAGATTTTTTTGCACTAGTACACTCAAGAATAGTTTTTATAAACTCTTAAGCTACGAAAGAACAATTTTTGAAACAAGCATATTTAAATAAATTTCAAAGTTTTTTTCATCAGTCTGCAAATGTATTTCTATTCGACAGCTTCATTTCTCGGGCTCCCCTCATTATTAATTACGAAACTTTGGACGCTTCGAACTAGAAAATCCTCTACGTTTTTAGTAATTGCTAAATCCTATCACTCTGAAGTTTACCTTTTTCTTTATTGGATATACATTTGGATCGTTTGAAGCTGTTTGTACTCCATGTACGGAAAATGCGTTAAACGAACCTAACGCCAAAAGACAATTGCCAAATTTCAAGGTTTTCTCATTAATTTTATCTAAAAAAACTGGAAAATCCGAAGTCTTTTTGTAAAAAGAACTGCCTTAGAAATTAAAAATAAAACATCAATACTCTCAATGTCGTATTTCAATTACTGCGTATTGGAAGCGATTGATTTCTTTTTGGAGGTGTTTTCATAGTCTGTTGGGAGTTTTATAAGAATTGAAGAAATCGTTAGACATTCATCCGGCATATATGTTGACAAATTTTATTTAACAAGCAGGAAGCTGATTAAAAACTGACGTTCTACTTGTATGGCCCGGTTTAGGATGATATTAAAGAGATTTTATATGTAAAATAATTGACAAAAACCAAAAAAAATGTCAAACAAAAAACACCAATTTACTCGAGTTCTACGCATTTCCCATTTTAAATAAATTAAGTTTTTTCCTACTTTCTGTCCAATTCGAAAATGTTTGTATCTTTTTTATATTATTATGACTTTTAGAAGGGTATCGTTGCCACTTATGGAAAAGTTCCTTGCTTGCTTGCTTGCTCAAGGCAGAAGGGTGAATTTTGATGTATTGTTGTAACAAACACTCACTTAAATCCTAGCATTTTTTCTTTTTAAAAAATTTAGAATTTGTACATACATTCCTGACTGTGTTTCAATTCCAAATCAAAATCAATTCCTGGGCTTCAGTCATTTATTGTCTCTAATTATCAATTAATATTTAGAATTATTCAACATCAGGCACAATTCTTTGCTTGAATGGCTAAAGTTTGAATAATTTTATATTAAGATAAATAAATACAATACACCAACCCGACCAAAACAAACTCCAAGAATTTAGATTTATAGGCTGACAAAAGTAGATCAGTTTATTCAAACCATAGAGATTTTCCAAAATAAATAATGTGGAAAAAATGTACGAAAATGAAAAGTAATATTGGAAGAGTGTAAGAATTTTTAGCTTTTCTGTTTAAATCAAAAATGTTATATGCTTCAAAATACAACCTATAACTTACAGTTGCTTTTATCATTACTGCCAGCAAACATTTGCTTGCACAATTTCCAAACAAAATTACTAAACAATTACGCATAACTCATAAAAAAAAATTCATGTTTGTGTGTAACGACTTAAAAAACTCCCTTATTACAATGATGCTAATTTTTAGTTACGTTACGCGAAATATTTCTTTGAGTTTTTGAGTATTATTATGTTCGGACCAATTGTCCGATTGGAAGATTTCGCAAAAAGCAAAGGTGCTTGCCGTCAAATTTCAAAATGGGAAAAAAATTGGCTTATATAAATATATCTTTATGGAAATACTGACAGTTTTTTACTTTAGACCATTACTTCTTTTACGGATCCTAAACTTACGCAGTTTTTCGAAACACTTGTTGAGAGTTTAAAAAACCTTCAGCAGAAGGATTTAACACATGTAACTAAGTTTAAAGCACACTTTTTGTCCACACCAATGTTTTGTTTGTTGACGAAAAACAAAAAAAACAAGCTTTGAAAAGTTTACTCCCCAACTTTTGTGTTCTTCAATGGCAAACAGATGATTTACCTGGCAGCTTCGAAAGACATTAACAACAATTAATGTCGATTCTCATTAATTTCAAAACTTGTTCTTCTTGACGCCAGCGTCTGGAACATTAAGCTAGGTCGATAACTTTCACTTTCAGTCAGCGGCTGAAGTGTATTATCCAAGAAACAAGTAAGAGTGTCTGAAGATGGCACATAGGTACCGAAACTACGTACTATTTGGGACAATTGGTGTTTGTCCGTTCTGTTCTTTGGTAGGTCGATAGGGATCGGTTGCGCACGACATCCAGATCGGTCTGGAGTCGGCAGTGCTCTGATGTTGCGACGGCAGCATGATTGCCACATTAATAATCCAGAATCCAGCTGGTGAACAATGAAACGCCATTTCGGTCTTAAGAAGATGTAGCCGAGTGCTCGTGTACATTCCGAGTGAATTATGACACAATATACTCACACGGTAAGGAAGTAGATCGATTTAGTGCAGCCAGTTTCAGTTAATTCTCTGGATGAACATTTGAGCTTTTTTGAAGAAATGTAGCAGAATTTTGTTTGCGGTGGTAGTTGAATAGTTACTCTAGAAGCAGCACCTGGAGAACTGGAGAATAATAGTAGACATGTCTAAGTTGTAATGAAGCTAAAAATTACATGTTGCCATTAACATTCTTTGAGCCACTGAAATAAAAGTTTCGAGAATATCCTTGAATGCAGATTATAAAAAAACTGTAGTTGCTTGTGATTGATGTTCGTTCTGCATGACTGTTAAGCGAAGTTGGTGAATTCAAATAGAAAGATTTTATGGAAACTTTTGAAAAACTTTTTGCGAAAAGACAACGATTATATAACGGCATGAAATCCTACCAGTTTTGAGCCTTTTTCAAATCACCATCGACACTTTCTTATGGAACTTGCCCGAAAATGTGTTATGAAGTTCAAGTAATAGCTGAAGGCGCTTTTCGTCCGGTTGATTTAACAATCCTATTTGATTGCGACGGTAATTGGATAATTGTGAATAGAAGTAATTTTTTGAAGTCACGGTAAGAAAAATCWTTATTAATATTGTCACTAATGTTGTTYTTACTCAATAACAAGCTCATTARAATTAATGAAAGTTTGATAATCTATAGGAATTGTCGATGTGGAAAATTCAGTTGCATTTAAATAGTCAACTGTAAAATTTTGGTTTATATGTGTGCTTAAAAAAATTATTAATTTGATTAAATAGCAAATCCAGCAGCAAAATTCGAAAATCGTATACATCGAGTTTCATCAAATCACACTATTTCCATCTTGTGCTTCTAGATAAAATATAATTTCATGCATAGTCCTTATATATGACACACATTTTATTATTTAATAAACATAATCAGTTTAAACAGTGACTAGGAAAGTWTTCMTAATTTGAGGGCGTATGACATCCACTTCAATATGCAACAACATTTARTTCACATKATTGATYTRCTGTRAAACAAKCTAAACATTTATAATGAAAAAAATRTATSCRTYYTACGTAYASCARTRTATTMAKAWTKATCATATACGTTGGSACAATWCAGGATACGTTTGGGAAAGGCAKTGACCGTCCAAAATGCTTCTACTAGRAAAGTATTCATAATTTGWGGGCGTATGACATMCACTTTAMTATGMAAYAAMWTTTAGTTCACATTATTGATTWKCTGYGAASAATCTAAACATSTRTAATGAAAAAAATATATGCATTTTACGTACAMYAATATATTAATAYTTATCATAYRCAGAGCTTTTGGGAAARGCGTGGTCCGTCCAAAATGCTTCAAATWGTTTGAAGAGTACCGAAAAAGTACAGATTTTTAGTAATTGTTTCAAAAAMTTWAACTTCAARATTAWTAGTKARYTTTTACYAGTTTTTAATTTTTTAAAATTTARACCWRATCAGTGCTTAATRKACMMSCTTTTMMAATATTTCAATSTASGAAAGGAAAGTATTTAGTTAAAATCTATGCTTAAAAATATAGCAAATGTTGTYTTTTGTGATTGTTGCCAAAAATATAGAATAACAAGAAATAAAAATAATGTTAATTCATTATAGAATTTAATTACAAAAAGCTAMMATATATTTAAGATAAWAATWKKCGAAAACTTAAAAAGWTTAATGTTAGCGTACCGTTATATTTAGCTGATCATAATGGACACGCTTTTCCAATAATGTACGTTTTWATTGTCTTTTTTTTTCATCRAYCTSMATCAGTCTCAATWTTCAAAACTAGTWTTACTCTCATAAGTAAAKCTGGATTTTAGTCACWAATTTTTGGTTTACGTGCCTTTTTTTTATAAACRTGCATGTTTGGAAGTAGGAGTAAGACACTGAAGAAGATCATTTCAAAACTGGTAAACATAAATTTATATTTTTTAGAAATTTTTCATATGAACACTAATCTGAATTAACGATTGCTTTCTTATTATTAATAGTTGCCCTGTTAGTTTAATTAAAACTAATATCTTGCTTCGTTAATCGTCCTCAGCATACTCAAGACTTCAGTTGATTATATGAAAAAAATCAGATAGTGGATAGAAAACTTCGAAACTTTTCAGCTGTTTGGGAAGTAAAATATACAGCAAATGCGAATGCAATGAGGTGGAGAGAGAACGGCAAATAAACGACACTGCGGTAAA